GTGCCGGGAAATCGATACACCAGGAGTGCGGAGCGACGTGCGACCTCGGCTCCAAGAACTGCGCAGCAACGAGAGTGAGGGGCCGCGCCGCCAGCAACACAGCTAGAGGACAGGGTGCCGCTGCAGTTTTTTTCGCCCTGCCGCTGGCGGGCCGGCGGCCGCCGCCATGATCTGAGATCGCCCCCTTACCTCGAGCTTGAAGTCGACGCTGTTGAGGTAGTCAAACTTCCACTTGAGCAGGTCGTCGCACGTCCGAGGTAAGTACGGGTCGTCATGCGGCTGCGGCCGGAGCGCGGAGTTCGTACGTCTGCGAACTGCCCGATTCGGCAAGCGAGGCGCCGCCACCCCCGCCTCGCATCCTCTTTAGCCTGCGGAGGACCCTTGCTCCCTCTCGCCCGCCCCCCAAATTCAATGACATGCCGCCTTCACTCGCCGTCATCCTGCCAGCGGGCGCCTTCCCTTCCCGGCACACAATCAAATGCACCGCGATCCACCCGCACCACTGCACCATCACACCTGGCCTGCCCTGGGATCCCCCCTAGACACAACAGCAGGATCGCAACCCGCCCGCCGCCTGGAGTACCCCTCGTGCCCACTTCCCTGGCCGCACACCCACACACTACCAGCTTCCAAACATGGACCAGCCTCTTTGCGCCACCTCATCTCCCAGATTAGAAACCCCCTGCCAGCATTCAGCCCCACGCGGCCACCCCCAGACAAACATCACCTCCAACAACACACACACACACACAAACACACACACACACACCTGCAGGATGAGCCCGTCGCTCTCGTGGCACAGCTTGGGTATGAAGACGCGCAGCAGCTTCTCGCCGCGGTGCAGCTGGTAAAAGTCCTTCCGCCGGAAACCAAAGGGCTCCTGGGAGGGGCCATCAATGAGAAAAATATCGTGGGGGACGTTTATGGCGCACGCTGCTAGACGGGGATGGGGGCTGGGGGAAAAAGTGCGACAAGCCACAGCAGCGTGAGCGCCTGGCTGGAAAATTTCTGTGCACAAATCGTCCGCGTGCGAAGGAGCATCGCTTGTGGGGACGTCCCGTGCTGCGGAGCGGCCTGCCAACGGCCGCCGGCTGCACACCTCTGCATACGAGTAGACCAGCGGGGCGCGCCCGGCGGGCAGCTGCATCATCCACTTGGCCTCCTCTACCCTGGGGGCGGCCACCTCCTTCTCTATCAGCATGTGGCGGTCCTGCGGCGGTTGGGAGTTGGTTGCGAGTTGGTTGGGAGTTGGTTGGGAGTCGGTTGGGAGTCGGTTGGGAGTCGGTTGAGCTGTTAGGGGGTGGCACAGCAGTCAAAGCTCGACCGGGCAGTTACGAGCTGGTTGACTCGTCGAGAGGTCGTCAGCAACTGAATCTTGCTGGGGAGGTTACAAGTCAATTTGGTGCTTTGGGAGCTCATAAAAGCACAATTACACCCCTTCACTGGGTTTGAAGGCGCCCGCGAACCGGCCCTGCAGTAACCCTCACCCCGAATTTGAGGTCCATGACGCCCTCCCCATTAATCATCATCAGGTCATAGGCCAGGTACCTTTGGGGGGATGGGTGGGGGGTGGAGC